ATGTGTACATTGAATTGCCGGTCCTTGCAAGTATATACTAGTAAGCATGTGGAAAACGGCGCAATCAAATTTGATGTTTAGTTACTTGAGACACCCGCTTTCAAATTGTTTTCGCTTTTATAAGGTTGGGTTTCTATTTTTATCAGGAAGCAGTGACCTCTCTCTTCTCTCTCTCTCTTCTCTCTCTCTCTTTCTCTCTCTCTCTTTCTCTCTCTCTCTTTCTCTCTCTCTTTCTCTCTCTCTCACACACACACACACACACACATTCTCTTTTTCTCGCTCGCTCAAGGGAGCTTGGGTTTAATTTCAATGAAGTGCTCACGGTGATTGGCTTCGGAGGTTGGAAGTGGGGTAGGTCGCGTCAAATCAAGTCGAGTTGAGGCAGGTTGTGCCGGATCGAGTCGGCTCAGATTCGCAACCACATAGGTCTGGTGGAATCTGGTTTGTTCGCTTCCAGTCGGGGGATGAGGCGAGATCGATTGGAAGAGCAGAATGGGGTCAAGTGGAGTGCATGAGAGAAGAAATAGAATTTGACGTCATTCGGCAAATTGAGTACATTTTGAGAGGCTTTTATTCAATTAAAACGGAGGAAGATTTTTGTTTTTGTTTTTGAATGCGTTGTAGTCAAAGTGGCAGTTGTAAACAAAACATTAACATTAAGAAGATTATCTTCGACGTTGAAATGATACACGAGCTATGAAAACTTAAACTTTGGTGAATGTAGTAAGTGCAGAGTAGGAGAGGGGGAAATAAAAAAAAACAATAGTGGCCTCGAACATACAGAACAGATATAATTAGAAAAACCTATACGTATCCTGCAATTATTCATTTGCACTCAACTATTCACTTACTATTTCTTGCAAGTAGAATGCATCCCCTTGCTTAGTATTGCGTTAGAAACATATAGTTTTATTTTGGGTAGCACAGTGACAATAGCCTGAGAAATATTCCTTGACGAAGGCTATTTATTCAGGTGAAACGATGCCAACATTGTTTAATACGAAGCAGGAAGCGAAGATAAAATTAACCTGAATTCATCTGATGTAATTTTATTCAATTTATTTCGTCAAAAAAACAATTTCTTTTTCTTGGGATCAAGAATCCCTACCTCACCCTTTAATTACACATAATTGTGTGATGAATACAGGTACCAACGGAGTGAGGCGTTTCTGGAGCAAAACTGCAAACTCGATGTTGACTTGCAAAACCGTGTGGTGTCTGGATAGCTGATAGATGGTTGTTCCCTCATCGTTACCCCAAAGTTACGTTACAGTGGTCGTTATTTTAGCGAACAGTTGGAAGCGACCTTTTATAAAATAAAATAAAAAAGGGGGAAAAACATATGGTGGTATGCTCGTCGGTGGAAAGGTCTCGTGGAGGCGAGGCGAGGCGAGGCACTGCGTGGGCGTGCAGGAGGGGCTGCGCTGACGTGGGCGGGGCTTGTGTGTTGCAGCGCGGGGGCCAGCCGTCGTCGTCGTCGTCGTCGGCCAGCGCGGG